GCGGGGGAGAAGTGCATGGAGAAGGAGAAGATCGCACAGGGGGGAAAGGAGCACGCGGGGGGAAGCAAAGCGCCCAGGAGGGGAGGGGAAGTAGCGCGCGGTGGGAAAAGCAGAGCGAGCAGGTTGAAAAAGGTGACGATAATGATGATGATGATGATGACGACGACGATGACGATGATGATGAGAGGGGGGGCGCGGGGGTGGGGTGGGGTGGGGGGGGGCGGTCTGGGATGGATCGAATCGAAATCGATTCAATTTCAGGATCGAAATTGAATTGCTTTCGGTTCCAAATTGTAATCGATATGATTTCGGAACCGAAATCGAATTGGTTTCGGTTTCGAATCGAAATCGTCTGGATTTCGATTTCGAAGTCCTGAGGGGGAAGATGATGAGACCGACGATGGGGGCGGGGGCGAGAAAAAAGGAAAAGAAAAGAAGTAGAAGAAACGAGGGAAGAAGAGAGAAAAAAGGAATAATAAAACAGAAAAGGAAGGAAGAGACGCCGAAGAAGAGAAAAAAAAAAAGACAAGAAACGTTGTTGAAGAAGAAGAAGAAGAGACAATGTCGAGGAAAGAAAGAAAAGAAGAAAGAAATGCAAGGAATATGAGTGTAAGCGATATATACAAAACCAAGTTGCGAAATCACACAGATGTCTGAGTAGTCGTGTACAAGTAAAGAGCATAATTGCACCTAGAATCATCCAAATAGAGCAATACAATGAAGTCATGAGCCAATGTTCAAGCCCGTAGGCCACACCAACACAGTATCCAAAGTCGCTCCTCTCTGCCTGGAACCCAGCGCCCAGCCTACTCTACTCGCATATCCCACCTACAGCTGTGTTCATGCAACAGGATCACTTCGACTCTCGAAGACCAATGTACATGATCTCAACACCATAGTCGACCTCTCTTCATGCACCAGGTGCGTATCTCGTCACCCTCATCAGGCCTTGATACCCCACACTTCGCCTCCTTCCCTGAAGATCACCAGATCACCCGCATTACCCCCTAGTGCCCGGCAGCCCGGCTATGGCTGCCTGCACCCCGCTGCCCTGCAGCGCCCCAGTTCACCTCAACTCGCCCTGTCAGCGCTCTTGGCCGCAGCGCAGCATCAAGCAGTAGCGCAGCAGCACTTCCGCATTGCGTACACAGGCCAGAATGCCTCACCAGGGCTGCCTCACTTCCTATATAGAAGTGGCAGCCTCCTGGATGCTGCGTGTGGCCTGGCTGGACTTCCAGTAGCTTCCGGTTGGGCCTCAGTCCCTGCGCCCAGGCCCGAGACTACAGTTGAGGGCCTGGGGCCCTTACAGTTGGGCACGGCCTGAGTCTCTGGACTTGGGCTGTTCACTGCATCTGTGCAGCGCTCCCACGTATATGCATCGACAGTACTGCTTTTGCATAGGCCAATGGCCTGCTTCTCAATGTATCGGCCCTGCTTTGTGTGTATGTGCCCAGGCGCAACTGTCAAGGCCTGGGCCAACTGTACAACGCAGCTTATTGAGGCTTGCGCGTCCATTCAACCAACTGGCGTGCTGCAAGAGCCTGAATACCCACATATGAAAGTGTCGAATTTTGTCCTTTGACGAATATTCAGGGCTGCCTTCACTTAGGGCGGGCACTTGGCTTGCTGGGGCCTTTGCCCACAACATGTGATGTCTGATAGGGTCCCGTGAGGGCTTGTTCCTCACAGAAAGGAAGAGCAAAAAAAAAAGAACGTACGTGAGGCTTGTCATCTGCGATTCAGGATCGTTGATGACGTGGCAGCGACGACGATGGCGTGGCAACGATGACGATGAAGTGGCAATGTCGATGTTGAAGATGACGACGACGGGAATGAAGTGGCAATGTCGATGACGAAGACGATGATGACGATTATGGCATGGCGTCGTTGAAGCTGCTCCGCGTCGATCAGGGCGGGCGGGAGGGCGACCGACACCACTCCGATACCAGTGTGTTGAGGCAGACGCAGAGCAGCGAGGCTGGGAGAGAGAGGAAGTGAGAGCACACACACACACTCACTCAACTCGATGCAGAATGCCGGATGGCGCCAAGCGTCCAAAATCCGAAAGTCCAAAAACGAGGAATTTGAAAACGGGCTCCAGAATAAGGATGGCGCCAACTGCCTGAAATCGGAAGAGCAAAAACAAAGTAAAATAAAACAAGAAAATTGCAAAAAAAAACAGAAGAACAAATACAGCAAGCGGGCGGGTGGTAACCCGCAGACCAGGGATCCACCCCTGGCAGAGCCCGTTACAGAATATGCAAAAAGCACAAAAGATGGGCAGAAAGAGTGCACAAGGTTTCATTTAGACAGCCACACGCAGAGAGCCAACCACCAATTTTTACGGAAGCAATACTTCACCCACTCACCTCAACAGGGCTGCCTTCAATGTTCCATCTCGAATGGAAAGCTGAGACCAAGTATCGCCCTAAGAACACAATCGACAATCATCACACAGAAAAGACGAGATGAATTTCGCCCAAAAACCATCAATCCACCAATTCCTTTTCTTTTCTTTGTGTGAAGCGGGCAGAGAGCCCATAACCCTACTCTATCCGCTCGATCAGTCAGGATCCAAACTCATAGTCTATTTACCAACAGTTATTTCGGGTGCAGCCACATGGGCAGCCATTTTATCATTTATCATTTAAATTTCAAAACATGGAACTCACACAGGTCAGGTCAGAAGGCATGCACCTGGTTCTAAGAATCCAGATTTATAAGGGCTTTCATTTCAGGCCTTACAGTCAGTCACCCAAGAAAGCATTATGAGTGGGTGTTTTTGGAGGAAGGACCAAGCCTCACTCTTAGTACATCTAGAAAGCATGGACCTGGTCATAAAAATGACCAGATACACTCCACGTTAGCACAAAAATAAAAATAACAGAAGATCAACGGCACCCGACCTCGAGGCACCAACGCCAGACCTCCTCTGTGTTTTTTTGTGCTAGCCTAGCGTAGGAAGGTATTCTAGAACACCTACCATTGTAGGTCTGGCAATCTGAACGCAGGGCTGAGGGCACACTCACTTTACCATCTGACTGCAATTACGGCCAGATGTGGATGAACCTGGTTGGAACCACATCCAGAGCTTTGCAGAAAAAATTGTAGCTTGCGTACATGCCCTGAGACGCCTATCATCTGGCTGTATGGTACACAAATGTAACCTTATGTTAACTTTACACTTTGGACCATTTCTCAATTTATGTGAGTCATACTCACGCAGGGCCCATGCAAAGTGATCTTTTTTTTTCCTTTTTTTTCCAATTGCGAGGATCAGGGTCCTCGGTAGGCCTATGGGGCCCTGTTTGCAGCCTCACCCGCCCTAAGTGAAGGCGGAGGTGCCCGCCCTAAGTGAAGGCGGGCCTGGCTTTTTCAAGAGGCCCTCGACTGTCAATTTCGTATTTGGGATCCAGGCTGTTGCGACGCGCCAGTTGGTTGAGCGAAACACAGGCCGAGCAACAAAGACATTTCCACGGCCCTCCGGGCCTTTCCAAAAGATTAGCTGCTGCATCCAGGCAGCCTCCTGGGGCCTTCCGGAAGCTTCTGGGCCCAGGCCAGGGCAGCCAGGCTGCGTGAGCAGGGCAACTCTTTCCATAAAGGAAAGAGCTCGGCCCTGTCTGCCTCATTCAGGCACTCGCATGCTGGCGGCAGCGCTGCTGGAGCTTATGCTCGCAGGCTGCTGCTAGCGCTGAGAGGCGAGGTGCCGCACATGCGGTCGTGCAGAGGAGGAGGGCGCTGCTGAGGGCAGCGGCATAGCCCAGCCACCATAGCTGGTGGGCTTGTACCACAGTGAAGCGCAGGGGTGGTCTTCGGGTGAAAGAGAGGACAGGTGTGGGTGAAGTCAGGGGATAGGTGAAGGATGATGATGATGATGATGATGTGAGGGCACGTACCTTGTATTGGCGATGGTCTGCATGGGCGACATCTTCAAGTACTTCGGGCTGCCGCTGATGTCAACAGTTGCATTGTCTTTTTGTAGTCTGTAGTAGCTGTGTAGGAGTAGGCTGGGCGCTGAGCGCCAACTGTGAGTGTGAAGGAACTGGACTCTTGTGTTGGGAGGAGAGAGTATGCTCTCCATGAACATTGGTTTTCAGTGCTACGAACCTCCATTGGTGTATTATTGGTGCAATGCTGCTCTCTGGACACGGTGTGACTATTTGGCTTTCAATGTGATGGTGTGATCTGGAATTGTCATCTCGCTGTTGCTTATTTTCCTTGCACAATGCTAGCTGCCTTCTCCTCATATGGGGGACAGCCACATTTACTATTCAACATTTGACTCTCAATTTCACCTCACACTACCTACATCATTCCAAATTCCGATTTTGGTGGATATCCCGAAGGACAAAAAAAGGAACTGTGGACAACCAGATCATCATCAGTTAAAATCCTCAGCAATGCCAGGAAAAGACCCTGCCCGCCCTAAGTGAAGGTGGGCCGACAAAAATGAGCCCCGGCCTGAGTACAGGCCAATGTGAGCAGAACTAGGGGCCCTGGATGGTCGCCGCATGCACAGCATCTCCAACTAGCCGGTAGGCCCAACCTCCGGGTTAGTTGCGGGTGCTGGGCCTCATGCAGATTCTGGAAGGGCTCGGAGCAGTTTCTAGAAGTGCCTGGGCGCAGGATACTGGGACTAGACACAGCCTAGGCAGAGGCAACTCGGTCTCTCCAGCCAGCACAAACGGCTGGAGGGCGGCCTACTCCACACATTTGCGCATTGTGCCAATGTGGCGGTGTGTAGCAGTCGTGCTGTCCCCCAGGAGAAAGCTGCTGCGGTGCAGCGAGGAAGAAGAGGGAGAGTGCCAGCCATAGCCAGGCTGAGTGCTCCATTGCCCGATGGTGGAAATTGCAGAAGTCCTTGGTGGGCGTGGCAGGAAGGAAAAGGAGGCAGCGTGACAAGGCACATTCCTGGTGTTGCCAAGGGCAGGCCATTCAATCAGAGTCTTCAAGCTGAGCTGGGCTGACGGTACCTGGAACCTGTCTTAGACAGTAACCCCGTTCAGAAGTAGTCTGGGGCCCAGAACTCAGCCCCAGGTGGTCTGCGCTGGGCTGTGTGACCAGGACACGCCCAGACCTGAGTCTGTCGCGTTTGGCTGTGTGACCAAACGCTGCACCCAGGAAAGTCAAGGGTCAAAGTCAACTGTAGAGTCCAAGGTACCGCGCCCAGGCCCTTGGTTGGATACACTCACTTGTTGTGCGCAGGTACCCAGACAAGCATCCAGGCGAAGGGAATTCAGTTTCAGGCCAATCTGGGCCTTCGTATGCATCAAGAACTGGACGGCTAAAGGTTGCAGCATCTGGGGTCCAGACCCCGAGTCAACGCTACTTAAGCGTTGACCTCCCTGGCTTTGACATTCATTCTGTCTTGCGTTGGCGTTGACTTCAATGCTGGCTCGACGCTGCGATGCTGGCATTGTGATTCGGCGTGGCGCTGCTGGTCCAGCATGGTGGCTGGCTTGCACCTGTCTTCTTGGCATGCTGACGTGGCAGCTGCCGCGCTGGTTTGGCTGCTGCCACGTGTATCATTGGCTGACGTGGCTGCTGCCACGCGTTTGCTGACGAAGCGAACCTACGTGACTTGTATTGCTGTTCTGATCGTCATTCAAGAGAAGATAGGGACTGTGGAGAGATCGTGGATACGTACCTGGTCGTCTTCATGTCGACACTGCTCCAGCGCTGATGAGGGACTGATTGGACGTGCCTCGTGGCACATTGAGGTTACTTCAGATACTCGTTCAGACTATTGACTACTGCGGTGGTGATCAAGGAGGGAGCCCGAAGCAGGATTCGGCCTTGTATTCATTTCCTCTCCTTTGTCTAATCTCCCTCCTCTCTCTTTGTCTGTGTATGATTATCTCATCTCCTTCTGTCTGGATACGATTTTGACTATTGGTAATCAGCTGGTTGACATTCATCCGGGCTTGCATTGTTGACGACTGTCCTCACGATCTAGGTTCATTACAATTTGGTACCGGAGCAGTTCTCCTGATCTCGGCGATTGTACACGTGTGCACGCGCCAGGTGGTGCGTGGGTAAGTGTGGTGCACACCTGTGTTAAGTAGGTGATCACGTGGCGAGCGATACGCCGGGGATGCTGACGTGGCACAGACTTCACTGGCCAGAAGACACCGCCGGGGTTGCTTCACTGGCGAGAGGAGATACGAGGCTGCTGACATGGCAGTAGGGACCACGACCAAGAGATACCGCACGCCAGCCTAGATCGCAATAGTGACGTGGCATTGCGATCCCCTGCTGACGTGGCATATGTTGTGCCACGTCTGAAGACCTTGTTGATTGATTGCTGATGTGGCACTCTTTATGCTGCTGACGCGCGACAGGGTCTACTGCGGATACTGACATGGCCTTGGGAAAAGGATTGATTGCTGACGTGGCAGGAAGCAAGTCATCACACCTGTCTTCGTGAGTTGGTGACTACCTGCTGATGTCGCATCAGTCTCCTTGGATGACGTGGCATTGTCTAACTGGCTGGAACGGCGACGGTATCGCCACGTGACGCGTGGAAGTGGCACGTGGGAAAGATCAGAGTACACATTTGCTGACGTGGCATCCCCACCGCTGGTTGATTAGATATTGATGTGCTGACGTAGCAGGATCTGCTGTGTTGGCACTCCAGGGATGACACGTGACAGGCAGGATTACTGCCAAGTAAGCGAAGCATTCTGCAGACGACAACGGTACAGCTGATTGAATCGACTATACAGCTGTAGTGCCAGCTGTCAGGGAGAGTGCATCATCGCACTGACATCAGGAAGACACAGCGGGTTGAAGAAGGTTGCTGACGAACTGTTTGCTGTTGTTGTTGGCATACTTACCTTGTCGTTGTTGTGTTGTGGTGCTTGCATACTTGTGTGTTGTGTCTGATGACACGGGCCTGACGTGGTACCTGTACACTCATAGGACGTCATCACACAGACAAAAGAACAGCAATTAGTATGAGTAGAGATCTGTTCCTTTTTACATGCAAGCGGATACTTTGGCACCAAAAGCGCCAGGACCACACCCTCGTCGTCTTTGATGACGATATTGCAGAGAAGTGGCCATTGGAGGCCGAGGGTGTGGTGAGCAGCAGTGATTCTGGGTAGGGGGAAGTCACTGCTGCCGTGGTCAACAAGGGAGGACCACAACCGCCAGTTAAGAAGAAAAAGCCACGCTCGTTCCCAGAGCATCCCGGGATTGCTGCCGGGAGGTCATGGGAAAAGATGGGCCTGTCACAAAAAACGTGGCAGGAAAGAATGGATAATGCACAATGTTTGAAATGTGGTACCCCAGGGCATGTGATTGCATGGTGCCCACTTATCTGAAACCCAAAAGCGAGCCACCAGTACGAGTACCATCTGCTCCTACAGAGTCTAAGGGTTTGGATCAAGAAGAAGGTAAGGCGCCTACTAACCCTTCCAACCCTTC